TCCTTGCTTCTAAGATAGGGAATTCCTCTGGCTTGGTGAAGCGGATGTCTGTGTCCTAGGAGGATGAAGTAAGAAGAGTCCCACTGTCTCCCACCCCTGTGTGCCCCCTCCTTGGATTGAGTTGGAACTTCTCCCTGGAGTGAGACAAGTTGTGTCTGGTTCTGTTAGGTGGAAAACAGTTCTGATTTAATTCAACAGACACCTCTGCACACTAACTGTTCCTTGTGTTTGCCCTCTGTGTCCAACCCCCTCCAACTTAGGGCTTGTCTTTGACAGAGAGGGAGCCTTGCTCCATGGTGGTGGCTCCAACAGACCAGGGTCTGGCCACTTTTTTTTTCCACTCTCTTGTCTTCTTCAGTTGGATTGGAGTGCTGCACTTAGTGCCGCTCCCTGGAGCTTGCTGCATCTTGCACCTCCAGCATTGTTACTGGATTTCCCGGTCCCCTTTGGCTTTGGCTTTTGCCTCCCATTGGGCCCACTCTGTGTCATGGACCAGAGAACCCTGCACATTCTTTGCTAGTGTGCCACCTTTTCACAGTTGTCTTTGGTCTGAGTGTGAGAGTCTTCTCTTTGTGTGTAATAAGAGAGTTTCTTTGTGTTTCTTGGGCTTCTTAAGACTCCAAAAACATTGTCCTGTCTAGTGACCCCTAGACATCTCCTTTTTGCCCTTTTTCACTTTTCAGGATTGGTATTTAGGCCATTGCTCTATTTGCCACCCATAGCCCAGGGTGAGGATTTAGAGAGCACAGTCTCACAAAGGTGTGTCTTGGATGGTGGGGTGAAACCATCTCCCCCTTCAGGTGCAAGGTCTGTTCTTCTTGACAGGGCATCAGCCACAGTGTTAAGGTGGCCAGGAGAATAGCACAGCTTAAAGTCATACTCAGAGAGCAGTTCAGCCCACCTGGCATGCCTCTGCTTGAGCAACCTCCTTGCCCTGAAGAAGGTGAGGTTCTTGTGATCAGAATAGACAGAGATGCCTTTAGAACCAGCCAAGTAGTATCTCCAGAATTTGAATGCTTCCACAATTGCAAGCAACTCCTTGGCATGGACTGTGTAGTTACACTCAGCACTTTTCAGCTTCCTGGAGTAATATGCCACTAGATGCAGAGGAGCAGAGGGGTCCTGAGAGCTTGGCTGGGACAGAACAGCACCGAGGGCATAGTCTGAGGCATCAGTTTCCAAGGTGAACGGAAGCAAGGGATCCACATGCTTAAGGAGTGGTGCACTTGTGGTTGCTGTCTTAAGAGCTTGCCAGGCTTGCTCTGCTGCTGGGGTCCATTCAAACTTGGTGGTCTTTTTGGTGAGATCAGTGAGAGGCTTGGCTATGGCAGAATAGTTGGCAATGAAGGTTCTGTAGAAGTTGCAAAACCCAAGGAAGCTTTGAACATCCTTGATGGAATTTGGAGCCTTCCATTCAAGAATAGTTTGGATCTTGTCTGGTGCCATGGAGATCCCTTTGTCAGACACAATGAACCCCAAAAACTCAATGGAGGTCTTGTGGAACTCACACTTCTCCAGCTTTGCATAGAGGTGATGCTGTCTGAGTCTCTCCAAGACAGTCTTGACATGTCCCATATGGCTTGCAGTGTCAGACGAAAATACCAGGATATCATCCAGGTAGACAATGACAAAAAGGTCCAGAATATCCCTGAAGATGTCATTCATCATGCCTTGGAAAATAGCTGGAGCATTGGTAAGTCCAAAGAGCATGACCAAGTACTCAAAGTGACCGTATTTGCATCTGAAGGCAGTCTTCCATTGATCCTGGGGCTTAATTCTGACCAAATTGTAGGCACCTCTGGTCACCTGACTTTTGTCTGAACCAATGTTGAACCAGGGCAGCTCACAGCAGCTCCAGGTCAGCTGACTTTTGTCTCTGTGTGCAACACCCTTTGTCTGCTGTGCAGAGACCTCTGTCCAGGCCTCTGGACACCCACTGGTTGAGTTGAAATGCCCCTGATGATTTCAAATCATTTTCTCTCTGTGGGGAGACCAATTGCTTGCACACAGGGCTCCACACAGAGCTTGGTTGATTTGAAATGGTCTGAATATTTCAAATCACCGTCCCTCTGTGAGAAGGGGTTTACAACACCTCCCCAGAGCAAAGTCCTGTCTGAAGCAGTTTGCAACTTGTTCAGATAGGCAAAACAGGAAAACTGGTTAACCTCTCTGGAGGAGTATAACTTGGGCAGAGTTTTCTTACTGAAAAAAAATACTCTCACTCCAATTTGCCAGTCCCTGTCTAAAACAAGCTCTCTTTACCCACTTGCCCTTGGTCGCTTGATACACTCACTCTCGTGTACAAGTCGTCGATTCAAACCTCTGTTATATCCTTTCTTTCTTTCTACCTCAACCCTTCCACCTTCTTGTGACGCCGCATTCTACACTGCAACTTCAACATTGGGCACTGCAATGCGGCTCTGTGAACGCACCTGATGGAAAGTGACAATCCAACCTGCGCTTGGAGCGATCACTTCGTCGCAAAGTCTTGGTCTAAGCCGCTTGGGCGGTAGAGGCCATCTCAGGCCAAGAGAAGAAAGAATGAAAATTGTACGAAAAGCCGCGGCACAAGAACCGTTCATTCTGCGATCAATCAAACGCTGCTGAGCTTGATATTCCAGGACGTCGTTGCCGAATTCTTAGTCGCATTGTGCTGCGCCGCGTGCAACGCTGACTGCAGCGGACTATGTCGCAGGTGTCGCGGCTGCTGCGTGGGCTGCTGCGACTGCGAGCTCCTCCGGTGCTAGTCGCACAATTGTGCGACCGATTGTTTGCGCGTTCCGTTGCTCCTGACCTCCGTCGCTCCTCGGCCTTTTCATTTTTTGGGCGTTGGCGTCCTTTCTGGTGCCAAAACATCAATAAAGTGTTCTCGACAACTGCTTAACTAACTGCGCGCATGACAACAGGTTCTGCTTCGATCGGGTGAATCGCAGCGCTAGAGTGGAGGAACCCCCTTAAACGCGATCCCGTTGCGGAAGGGTCCTATCGATTTAGGGGCCTCCGTGGGTGTTCTCTGGCGAGGTCATGCACGTAATAACCTGAGTACCGGTTTTGTTCTCGTTGGCAGCGGTGTGTGTGTGTGTTTGCGTGTGTGCAAAGAGCAAGGAGAGAGAGAAGTGGTGGCGTCACAGTGCTGTGTGTGAAGCCACTCTGCGTCGGGTCGGGCAGTGCGACGCGCGCAGTCATGGTGGGTTGGGGTTGGTGGTGGCTGGAGGGTCGGTCTGTCTGCCACCCATCCGTTTGTTCGTTTGTGGCAGTGCCTCCTGCCCAGCTCAGGCGCTTTCACCGCCGCCACTGCCGCCTTCAAAACCCAAGCTGCTCCCGCCCGCGCACCACCAACTCACCACCCCGCCAGGCGCTTTGCTTCCATCCCAACCGACGGAGCCGAACCCGGCCCCCACCCCAGCAGCAGCTTCAAGAACACACACACCACACACACACACACACACACACAGGCATACACCACCTGCTCCGCCCGCACCACGCATGCCGGCCCCGCACGGCCTCGTCGCAATCATCCTCGCGCCCTGCGCGCTTCTCCTCGGCCTGCTGGGCTGCTGCTGCGAGAGCTGCGCGGGCGACTGCTTGGTCGGACTGTGCTGCGTGTGCTGTGACTGCGACTGCAGCGGGCTGTGCGACGGGTGCTGCGACTGCGACTGCATAGCGCTGTGCGACGGCGGGTGCTGCGACTGCTGCGCGGGCAGCTGCGACGGGGGGGCGTGCAGCTGCGGGCCGCCGCAGCACTGCTCGACGCACAGTGTCGCGGCGGAATGTTTGCGCGGGGTGTGCGAAGGACTTCTCAAAGGGCTGTGCGATTGTAGGTGCAACTTTTGCTGCGACGGTTGCCCGCGGCGGCGGCGGCACGCTGAAGATGAAGAGTGGTCGAGAGATGCTGACGGCGGCGGCCGCGACGCGTACGGCGGGCAGGACGCAATGGCCGTTGGCGAGATTATGATGCTGACGGCGCCGGCGGGGCTGAAGAAGGGCTGAAGTAATACATGAAGCTGTCCAAAACTGGCTGATGTTTCACCTTTCTTCGCTTGTCTTTGCGAATCGGCAGGAAGACGGCGCATGACATGTCGACCGAAAAAGGAAGCCTTCAAGCAACGCAGACGGTACTTTTCAAACAGCTGGCTGTGGCACCACCTCCAATCCGCAGCTCTCTTCACGCACACCGTCTTCAACACTTGCGAAGGCCGCCCATCGCCTCCTTTGCCAAACAGTTCTTTTCATCGTCCGAAAGGCTTGGCCGATCTTCTACTGCGGGCCTTTGGAAATGTCAAATCTGTCCGCGTGCTATCCTCCGCTCCAGATCAGCCTCCGTGGTTGTGTCGCGTACTCTCAGAATGTGCGCTTGGAAGTGAACTACTTTGCTGAGCCTTCGTTTGAGCCAGCCCAGGCAGCTGTAGGCCTTCTCCGGAAAGCCGCGGAACCATCAGCATCACAAACGCTCATTCTGTCAATCAATTAGATGAGTACGCTCCAGCCCCCTGGATCCACTCCTCGAACCAACCAGCCAAGACCCTCCAATGAAAACGTTTCTGCCACTTGCGTCCATCCCGTCCCAAATCTTCTTAAGTGTATCCTAACCAGCGCGGCAGAACGGCAGAAAGAGCTCAACGAGGATGAATGTGATAGGCAGAGCTAGGACAGACTGTTGGCAAAAAAAATCCATTAATGCAGACACTCATGGAAAAATGAAGTGGGCTAATGCACTGTCTGCGCTTAGCTCAAAAAGGGGTGTAACAAATACAGCAGTGCACCAGTTGTGCGCTTGTGAGGCTGAGCATTTCGAATCCCTGCCTAGTTTTTGCATTAACCTACTTTGGACCACATGGATGAGAGCTCTGTCTTCACTCCACTGTCCAGTCATTGGTTGTGACATATGGCGAAATCCTGCATAATAGGCCCACTTCCAGCTCCCAGTGCCAAATCGAAGCATATGAGGAGTCAATTCTTTGAAATAATAATTAATTTATTTAGGCGATCCCTTTCTATCAGCCTGGTTAGCTCAGTTTGGTAGAGCGTGAGACTTTTAGGGCTTCGTGACCTATGAAAGGCATCTTAAGGTCGTGGGTTCGACCCCCACATCGGGCGTCCTTCCTCAATGTAATCACTCTACTCTGATTGAGTGATTGAAGTGGGGATGCTTGTTTGTGGGTGGGACCTTCTCCCCAACTTGGAGAGAAAGAGAAAAACTCTATGAATTATTGATACATAATGATGATATGCACACTGTAATAGTTGCTAGGCAAGTGTGACCATCACAGGGTCAAAACCCTCTCCTATATATCTGCTTGCTTGAGCAGAGGAGGAGGAAAACTGTTGACACTGGGTTTCTGTTCCACTTAATACTCGGAGTATTTGTCATCAGTGCAAGCCAGCGCCCAGGTCTGCATTGGCAGTGGCTCGCTCTCCCATGGGCACTGTGAGAACGATAACTGACAGTCGCAATAGGTTCAGGGCCGTCTTGTGCCTCTTGCTGCTAACCAGTCAGTTCCACCTAACACTGATTTCATCTAGCCCAAAACGAGCAAATGCTGTTGCTTCAAGCAAGGAATTGGACCAGCTGCCTTTGGGTATGAAACAAAATTAAGGGGGCTGAGTCGCAAAGAGAACATATGTTCGCACAATCTGTCTTTCAGTCCCTGATTCTTACATTGCTTCAGGAAGATTGGGAGAAGTACAAGGCTTATTTGCACTGTGCATACAAAGTGAAGAAGCATGAGATTGGAGTGCTGAAAGACCACATCCAGGTTGTTCAGGACTTCTTGAAATGTCGGCATTTGGAGAGCTGGGCATCCAGGGCTGCAAGATGAGGGCGATGAGGATGGGACTGCTGGTGACAAAAGGTGGAAAACACCACTTGTTTCTGCTTTTTCAACAAAAACTTGGAGACACAGAAATATTCAAACAACAAAGTGCAATATGCAACACAGTTTTTGCTTTTCAGTGTTCCCCAACAGCCCGGTTAGCTCAGTTTGGTAGAGCGTGAGACTTTTAAGGTTGCGATGGCCGTGAAAGACATCTTAAGGTCGTGGGTTCGACCCCCACATCGGGCGCCACGGCGTGTTTCCAGGGCCTGCTTTGTTTCGCGACATCCTGTCTCGTCATTTGGCCATTATTTGCCATCATCATCATTAGCTTGAGTCCACAGGAGTTCCTCTTGGCAGTGCTTCGGTATTCGTGGCTGCTATTCAGGCCTCCCTTGGTCCCGAATATCTGACAATTAAGAAAACCTTCATTTCGATGAGGTTTTTCTCTCGTCTGCCACATCCCTTTCGGCGCAGGGGTCGCTTATCGCCAGATTCCTGAACGTGTCTGTTCGGCGCCCATCCGATCCAGATGGAAATTAGCAAAATTGGAAATTGTGCTCAGTGCCAGACGCAAATCAGGGGCCGGCGGCGGAGCTGCAGAATCCGAAAAGGTTGGGATACCGCTCTTCGCTCTGAAATGCCTTTTGTTTGCCGCAGTTGCTTGGTTGTTTTGACGCTGCAAGATCCACACCATACACACACCACGTGCGTAAGACTGCCACACGTCTCCACGCAGGTGCTGCCTCCCAAATTCCAACCTGAGCCCTTTTGCAGGAAATCGAAGTAGTTCAATGGGTTTTCGAAACCAAAGTTCTTTGGGCAAGGTCGATTTTCAGTGAAACAGACAAACGTCCTTGTCAAGAAAACAATTTTTTGGCAAAAAAAAAGTAACAAATTGTGAAATCGATTGTGCATTGGCCAATTTTGGCAGGCAGAGGAGTGGGGAAAGTGGGGGGGAAACTTCCCCGCCGGGGGGAGGACCCATCAAACAACCCAGCACGAAGACCCAGAAATGGAAGGAGGGAAAGACCCGACCCGAAAGCAACAGAAAAAAAAAGAAAGAAAAAAAAAAAAAAGAAAAGAAAACGACCCCCCTGCCCATCACCAACACGCGCTCTTCACGTCCCCCATGACCGCCTCCGCAACCCCACACAGCGGCGCAACCGCCGCATCATCGACCGCGCCGGCGTCGACGGCCCTGCGCAGGCTCGCAAGCGCCTTCACAACGTCCTCGCGGCGCGGGTCGGGGAGCCGGGCGGGGAGCGGTTTCCGGAACCCGCTGCCGTCTTCTCTGTTGTGGACGGAGGCTGCGACCATGGACTGGAGCAACGGGTACCAGCCGACGACGGCGCCGAGGAAGCGGCGGACGGTGGATAGGGCGACTTCGAGGGCGCGGTCTTTCGGGGGCGCGGCGGCGGCGGGCTGCGCGGGGAAAGCAGCAGCGGGCGGCGGCGGCGGTGGCGTTGGTCCAAAAATCTCGCCCACGAGCGGGTCCTCGGCTGCCGCCGCGGTCGCCGCGGTGGCCGGTCCACCTCCTCCGACGACGCGCGGGTTCCCGACGGGGTCGCTGAGCCTCGTCCCGGCGTCCCGGACTCTGTGCAACGGCCGCTGTTTCGCGTGTTTGCCGACGCACTTTCGGCACTCGTCAAAGTCCGGGCAGTCGAAGCAGTGGAATCGGGGCTGGGACCGGTGGATTTTGGTGTCGCAGCCGTCGCAGGTGAACTCGATGGGGCAGGGGCGCTGGAATCGTTTGAGGGCGGACTCGACGGCGGCGAGGGCGGCGCGGAGGTCGCGGTCCTCCTCGGGCGGGGGCGTCGAGGTGGAGAGCTGCTGGAGAGTGTTGGTGCGGGAGAGGAGAGCGAGCGGGGACTCGTATCCGTTGTTGGCGGCCGCGTCGTCGTCGTCCGCGTCGTCGTCGTCCTCGTACGGTGCAAAGCGCCGCCGTCGCTTGGCCGGCCCTTGCGGAGAAATCGAGCGCGACCGTCGCCGCTCCCGGTCCCTGTCGCGGCTCCTGTCCCTGTACGCACCGCCGCCGCCGCGTCCTCTGGTGCCGCCGCTGCCGCCGCGGCGCGACGCTTTTGTCGCTATTTGCACTCTTTTCTGCCAAACAAAGGCCGTCCTCAGTAAGGCCGACTCGCTGCGGTCGATAAAGAGGTGCTCCGGCGGGGCGGGCTGGCGGCTGGGGTCGATGGCGGGCAGGGCCGGGTCGACTTTGGCGCGGCCCAGGTAGGACGTGGCGCCGGACGGCGACGGCAGATTGAACGCGAACGACAGGTCGTCCTCCCATCGCGACCGGACGCGCGGGACCGCGACTGCGTTGTGCATGACGACGCCCGTGGCACCGCTGCCGGCGAGCACGCGGAGCCACTCGTGGCCCAGCAGCGCGCCGGCGAGCGGCTCCCGCGCGAGCGAGAGCGGCACGGGCGGCACGCCGCGCCACGGGTCGCGGTCGTCGTCGTCGCCGCCGCCGAAGCCGCCGTCCTCGACCTCGCGGACAAAGATCCTCAGGCGGTTCTCGGCGAGGGCCGCGGCGCCGCCGGGGACGCGGGCGGCGACGTACAGGAGGTAGGACTGGCCGGCGCGGACGGACTGCAGTACGGCGCCGGTGGCGTCGAGGTCGGACACGTCGACGGCGGCAAAGGACGGCGCCGCGTCGCCGGCGCCGCCGTTTGCCGCCCCGACGGCGACGACCTGGACGGCGTCGACGGAGGCGGGGCCGAGGGCCGGGTGGGTGTACGGGGCGGCGAGGCCTGCGACGCGGACGGCGACGTCGACGCGGCGGAGGGCGGCGACCCAGGCGGCGAAGCTGCGGCGGAAGACGCGGTCGGCGCCCTCGGAGCCCTCTGGCGGCACGGCGAGGGCGAGGAGGGCGCCGTCGGGGGCACCGATGACGGCGGCGAGGCGCGAGGCGGTGTGCTGGTCGACCCAGGCGCCGAAGCCGGTGACGCAGCCGCCGCGGACGGTCGTTGGGGCGAAGGAAGAGGAGGTATAGGAGGACTTGGACAAGGTGCTTGTGAGGGCGGAGGCGGTGCAGGAGGAGATGAGTGCGCGCATGGCGTCGAGCGCGGCGCGCGGGCCTCCGTTGTGGCCGCCATCAGTGTCAAAGTCGATGAAGGTTTTCACGACGAACGGCTGGCCGTTGGCGGGGTGATCCCCCGACAGGTGCAGGCGCGCTTCGGCGACGATGGAAGCGGCGTCTTTCTGCGCGGCTCGAGCCGGGACGTCAAAGGATGTGCCGCCCTGCGGCCGCTGCTGTAGAATCCACACGGCGTGCTTTGCAATGCTCCTTGCAGTTGATCGCTGCGGCTCCGTGTGCAGCTGGGCGATGGCTGGCTTGAACGCGTCGGCGGATGGCGCAGCAGAGTGGGTCAACGCCGTGGGACCCAACAGCTCGCCCGACAGGCGAGAGATGAAGCCGACGTCGACCGTGTCGATGCGGAAGGCGAGGGTTCTTTTTCCAATAACACGCGTGTCAAAGACAAACACGGCGTCCGCAAAGATGTCCGTGCTGCGAACGACGCCGGCGTTGACGAGAAGAGGGAGGGAAGAGACGCGCTTGAACAGGCGACGAAGATACAGCCTGTTGAAAGCGTCGCGGACGGTTGCGCCGTTGCACTCGGCTGCCGTGCTGCCGGAAGAGTCTGTCATCGTGAGGTTTAGAAGGAGCTGCGGGCGTCCCGTCGGACTCAGTTTCGTCTGTGCGGGTGCGACGGTGAGCTGGACGCGGAGAAGCTGCGGAGCGGGCGCGCAGGGAGTCGGGGAGGTGACGGTGAGGAGTTTTTCGTCAACGGCGGAGGCGGGCTGAAGGACGACGGCGTGCGAGGCCAGCGGAGGCGGCAAATCGGCGTCAGACATTGCGTCCCAGTCTGCGTCTGGGTTCCGAATGTTGAGCCAGAAGAGGAGGAGCGTCTTTTTCGGAGGGAGACTCGGAGCGGATCCGGCAAACGTGGGCACGCCGTTCTCGTCGGGGGCCAGGTGCGACGCCGCGACGACGATTCCGTCGTCGGGCCACTGACCGACGAGATCTTGGTACGCGGCAAAGTGGGCCTTTGGATCGAGGATCGTGGCCGAGGCGGGTGCGCGGAGGCGGAACGAGACGGACGCCATGCCGAACGGGTCGTCGAGGGGCGCCCACGGCAGCACTAGGGCGATGGGGCGCAGTTTCGCTTGGCCAATGTCGGATCCGGTCGGATCGACGCTCATGGCGTCGTAGCAGTACGTGGCCCTGGAGACGAACCGCATCTGCACGCGACCGCGGCGGCCGACGGGGCCGAGTTTGGCGTCGAACGAGTCGGCGCGGGAGGTGGCGAGGCCGGCGGACTGGCCCGAACCGGACTCGATGACGGCGGAGACGACGGCCTCTGCGGTGGCGGTGTAGGCGATCTTTGCGGTGATGTCCACCCACTGCATGCGGTCGGCGGAGAAGCTCTGGAAGCCCGTGGAGACGAGGACGAGCTCGATGCCGTCGCACAGCAGCGTCTTTGCGACCTTGAAGCTGACAGCCATCGACTCGTCCGGGTACGGGTTCTCAAACTCTTCGGTGAGGACGACCTGGAGGGCGCCGTCGTCGCCGAGGGAGAGGTCGTAGTCGACGGCGGAGGGGCTGAAGGCAGCGCGCGGCGGCGCCGTCGACCAGCCGACGGACGCGGCGGTCTGCAGGGCGACGATCGAGACGTCTTTCAGCTCGACGGCGTTGGGCGGTGACTGGTTGTCGCCAGGCATCGGGGCGACGAGGGAGTAGGTGGTGGTGGTGCTGGTGCTGGTGGTGACGGGCGCGTCGTCTTGGGGGGCACCGTCATCGTCCGCCGCCGCCACCACCACAGCGACGTCGGTCGAGGGGAAGAGGAACGACGCATCGGAAGTTGCCGACCCTGAAGGGGAGGAGGAGGAGTCGGCCGCAGGAGCAGCTGGCGCGGCGAAGAACAGTCGTTGTCGTGGTGGTTGCGCGGTTGCTGCTTTCCTCATACTGGATGTGTGTCGGGTGTGATTATGGGGTTGGTGGTTGATGGGGCCGTGCGATGCAGCAGCAGCAGTCGAACTACTTATACTGTGTCGTCCGACTGCGGAGGAGTCGTTTTCGTGTCGGGTGTGTGGCGGAGTCAGGCGACGCACTGTTGTTCCACACAAAAACAACCAGACCGTGATGACAAGTCACACACACACACAGTCATGTGCCCACGTCATTGTTTGTTCATGTGGAAACAAATTACGTGTGTCAACCGACTTTGCGCGCGCTTGTCCAGCCC